CCGTGGTAACTGAAAATTTACATTTTTTTGTGCGTTTATTCAACGTTTTTCAGAAAAATCCACACAGAAATGAGTTCTTTAATGGGCATGAAAGGTGTTGAGACGAAAAATAAAAATTTGATAAAATTCACAAACCTGCGGGAAAATGCAGGCTTTTTTATTTTGATTATTTTGACGAGAGCCTGATTCCACCACGCTGCCTCACAATTTAATGCTGAACACTCTGGTTTTTTTAGTTTTCAAATATCTTGAGTAGCTTTAAAGACATGCCACTTTTTGAAACACAGGGTGTTCAAACATACGTTGGAGAAAAACCCAATTTCTTGTACACTCAAAGTGGCCAAAACTATCAGTTAGAACTTTGTAAAGGAAGCGATCTGTCTTCACCTCTGACGGTGCGGTAGTGTCGTGTAAAACCGGATGTGTCTGCTCCGAAGAATCGCTTAAATCAACAAAGAATAATGATCTGTGGCAAATTATCATTTCTGGTCGGGTCTGCAAATCTCAAAACTCAATTTGGTTTAAAACATATTGAGGAGAACCATTTAAAGTTCGCTACCCCAGAATTGCCACGTTTTTTTCTGCTCAGTAACTAAATTGGAAAAAAATTGAAGTTTAACATTTTGTGTTTAACAACATGTCAAGCTTTACCTAATGCAATTCTTTGAATTCCTAGTTAACGATTCCGAATAGTCTTACGATTTTGATAGAGCAGACAGAACATTAACATTTGGTTTCTGAACTCGTGGTCTTAGTAACTCTATCTCTCTGTGTGGGAGAGCATCTGTGTACGTGTGCGTGTATGTATATAAATGTGTGTGTGTGTATGTGTATGTGTATGTGTCTTTGTATATAAATGTGTGTGTGTATGTGTGTGAGGGGGTGGGGGTGGGGGTAGATGGATGGTAAAACACAAACCAGTACCAATTTACCAGTGTCAAAAGACTCATCTATCTTATCTTTTCTCATCTTATCTTATCTTATCTTACATTTTCTTATCTTATCTTACCTTATCTTATCTTATCTTATCTCTCACCTTCCAAGCTGCTCGCTGAGTGTAAAGTCTGCTGAATGTATTCCTCAACATACAATGAACATTTTATATATATTGGCCAGCCAACAATTGAGACACGACATGTGAAATCTTTCCCTCGTTGTGGCATGGCTCTCTCCGATCTAGTGGGGTCAGCCTAATGGGGTCAGCCTCAGAGCAAAGAACGTTACCCTGGAGCTTCTGCGTCATAGCTCTGTAGATGAATATGTCGGCATCATGGTGGAATCACGTGCTGGTCACAATAATGAAAAGGAAGACAAAACCCTCCCCCCCTCCCTCCCCCCGCAAATTGTGACAAGTTTTATCGAGTGTTTTGGCCTAACACATTTTATGTTCTGGTAAAAAAAAACTTCCTTGTGGATTTGACTGAACATTGTTCATCAAAATCTGTAAAAATGTGCAGTGTCGAGGGACACTCAAGCTGTGGAACTCAACAAACTTTACGCCATTTTCTCTTCAAATCTTACCTGTGAAACCAAGCGACCCTCACCTCCTTCAATCGCAAATGTCGTAACTTCTATTCAAGTTAGAGGGCATTATTTTTTTCATCAAAATTAAGACAACTGAACAAGCTTTAAGGTGGTAACAATAATCTAATATGCCCCAAAAATTGACGAGCGCCTGATTCCACCACGTCGTGTCACAAATACATCTCCGTGGAGACTCTACGTACGTCACAGATCTGAAGATTCACGTTGAGGGGTGACCAGAGACTTGTTCAAGTAGACGGCTCTCTGAAAATGCCACTCAACTTGCGGTAGTTCTAATTTCAGTCTCTTCACCGAGAACTCGCA